AACTGCTCTGTAAAGCATTTTCAATGTGCCAGCCCTGAAGTCTGTGGTGTCTAGGAATTTCTGTAACATATTCATGCTCAATCATATTGTTTACAGTACCAAGCAAGACTAAGCATCTTGGATTGAACACAAAAACTTCTTAAAGAATAGTGCACTTCCAAATCTCACATCTAAATTTACATTTCCTTAGAAGAATACCTTTCATTATTAATCTTGCTATGGCTGTTGTGTAGAAAATTTGGGACAAAGGAATCCATTTTCAAAACAATACCAGTGTCCGTTTTTATCTGCACAGAGTGGATTTAACCTATGCTTTGTGAGAGAGGGAAGGAAAACCACTTCTCATCACGAAAGAGAGAGCAGAAAAACAGTAAGATTCTTTTTCTGCACTGTAACATCCTCCAGAACCAGTTAGGCTCTGGCAGTTTGATGTGAATTGCATTTTGATCCTTTTCAAAAACCTGACTTGGTTTTCACAGTGAAATGGAAGATGGGAGCAGTTCCGGTCAGACAGATCGGCCTTTCACTCAGCCAGCTGCCCTCCTTCCATGAGGAATGAACGAGGGAAGCTGCTGATGAGGAGTGATGACAGCTGCTGCCATCAGCAAACAGTGATAGAGAACTCAGTGCTCTAATAAATAGGGTCATTATGCTTTCTGGAGGCAAATGGCTGAAAAAAACAATACAGGGTACGTCTGAATTACCATTTTCAGGGCAGTTCTTCTGTAAAAATTGTAATTCATGAGAAATGCAGAATATTTGTATGTTGCTATCCTAAACTTTCTGAATCGTCCTCAGAATGGACATATGGATAGCAAAAGCTCACATAACGTGCAAAATTTAATTGACTTTCAACTTAGTATAGGGTCTCTTTCAACTCAAATGATTCCATGATTCATTTTTTGTATTTTGTCTCTTTTTCCTTAAAACACAAGATGGTATTGTAGTTGACTCTCTAAAAATATTCCAACTGATCAGATATAATCACAGTTCATTTTTCCAGCTAAAAAATCTTAGCAATACATCAGCCAGGAAGATAAGCATTCCCATTCATGATAAATTAACACTGTTTTGTTTTGTCTCCATCACTAGCAAGCAGCCTGGAGAGATTTCCTGGCTCTCCAAGAGCTCCACTGCTGTCAGGGAGGGCCGTGCCGTGATTTCTGGCCATCTCCTGCCTGACAGAAGGGACTGCAGGAGCTGGGAATGGGGCCTTCTTTTTCAGGGGGGCAGATCAATGGCTTTAGGAGTCAGCTATGTTATGTCAGCTTCCTCCTCCTCTCCTGCAAACACAGCTGTGTAACATAAAATAGAAGAAAGCACTTGGCATCCAAAGAGAGGATGGGGTTTTATTGAAGGTTATGAGGATTGTTTGGTAGAGTACCAAGGGAAACTGAGAAGGAGGTCTGACTTCTCTGGTTTGCCATTATTGGTCTTTGCCAACTTGGCACTTTCCAGAGGAAGACTTAAATTCGTCTGGGAAAGAAACAAACTAACTCTTGGACACTGCTGGGTGGAAGTGTCTCAGCCTGACACTTGGTGTTCCTGAAGCTATGCCTCAGAGGAACCATTTTTTATTTTTATTTTTTAAAAATGCAGGAGAAGAGAGTAAATGATCTCAGCTCTGAACAAGTAATAAAAATGACTAAAAATGACAAAACTGTATGGTCTAAACATTAAGTGGGCTAAGAACAAGATGTCCTGTATTCCTGAGGATTGAAGGGAAACATCATAATCAAAAGCACACAACAAATAATTTTTTCTTTAGTCCTATAGGCATGCTTTTTAACTGTTCAGATGGACCTCTTAGCTTTAAAATATTTGCTCAATTTTTACCAAGGGTTACATTTTTTTTAACTATTTATTTATGAAAACTAGATGTTCCTACATAAAAACCACTGATTCAAACCAAGCTTTCAACACCAAATGATGTCTTTTAAGAACAGGTTTACCTACTCCCAGGTTTTCTACTACTGCTATTTTTTTAACTTCTTCGCTACCTGTGTTTGACACTTAGAGGTTTGTGTGCCTACAATGTGAAAACCTGTTTTGACCATCTCCTTGAGCTTAAAATAGAGGTTACAGCTTTGAACTTGTCTTTGCTTGTGGGAAGGTGAGCTTGTGAATAGCAAAAGTACCTCATGCAGGGGAACTGTATGTTGAGGGGAAATGGCCAATGTGCTTTTGAAGGGCTCAAGTTCCTCTGAAGGAAAAATCAGTAGTAATGTGAACCATACCCTCAAAAGAATTATTACAGAAGTTTTCAGATGCAGTGGGAGGGTTGGTGGCTCAAGTAAGCTGATCTTATCCTTTCAGCTCCCTTGGTTTCTGTGTAAATGTTTGCAATTTGCTTTTCTACTCTGACAACATCTACATGAGAAGTAAGGGTTTATTATTATGCAGTAGTATGGCCATTATAGCATTATCAGTTCTCAACAGTTCCAAAGAACTGTTATCTTCTGTAGGTTTGGTGCAGATACCTGTTTCAAGAGTGACTCGTTCTTAATTTTCACTATATGGAACCATTCAGAATACTTCTTTCTGGGCTATCCAGTTTTTTTCTTCCTGAAAAAGATTGAAACTATTATATGACTATATTTTGTCATATTTTGATTGCACCAGTCATGATGCCCATTCAATAGAATCAATTGATCAATTGATCATATTTTATTTAGTGTTAGAATGAAGATATTTCCACCTGCATCTTATTTTCATAAAGACAAAATACAGAAAACTGCAGTTCCATTGAATGTTTTCTTACTAGGCCAAGTATCTGTATTTTAGCTGAATGAGACTGTGAATGAGACATATGAAATGTATGCCTAATGCCTTGTAGTTCTTTGTGGACTAATAAAAGACAACCATTTATTTCTTCAGGAACAGCATCTGTGGCAGTTGCAGGTCTTCTCGCAGCTCTGCGTATCACTAAGAACAGGTTATCAGATCACACAGTGTTGTTCCAGGGAGCTGGAGAGGTATGTGTTCTTAGACAGCAGGAGTTCTACTTTGAAAATGTTTCTTAATATCTATTTAAGTTATAAAGCATCCAATTTGCAAGGAAATAAAATAGGCAGAATTATCACCGAAACCTGATGAAAGTCACTGCTTAATTCAAAAGTAAACTTACAAAAAATCTTCTCTGATCATGCAGTCAGGTCTCATATTTCTCACAAGAAATTTTGAGGTCTGTTCTCTTTTTAAACGTGAGGTTTTAGCTCTTCAGCTGTAAATCACCGAACTGCTCTCAGTAGAAACTTAAAAAACAAAAAAACAAAAAAACAAAAACTTGGATAAATGAGGAAATATATCAGACAGTCGAAGAGATATAAATAACATATATTTACTTCTATGTGTTATTTAATAAGAAGCAGTGCCCCTGTAAATTTTTCCTGTTGTTAATTATAGTTCTCTACTATTCTTCATGTGAAGATCATAAATTTCTGAAGATTTTTATGAACACTTATTTTTTGACACTAGTTCTTCCACATACATTCCCAAGCTGCTGACACACAAGTCGAAGTTGTACTTCTCCATAGTGTGGCTGTCAACTGGTATATGAAGTAAGACTATGGTGCCATGAAAACTTGAGAAAAATATTATTCATGGTCACAAATCCCCTTTGTAGGGGCACTAGATTAACTCACCTTTGTGTAGTCCAGATATTTTTAATGTGATTCAATATTGGCTTTACTGAAATAGATCAGGTACGTGGAGAATGCCTGGTGTATGTCAGTGCCTTTTTCCATCAAGACTGTCAATCTCTAATGCTCTTTCTCCTGACTTTGCTCCATGTTCAACAGACAGATGAATTCACAGTCAAATGTTTTGGGGTTCTCTTAGCAGTTTTTTTCAGTGTTTCTGTGCTGCAAAGAGGTTATTGTATATATCCTCCCAGCCATGTGAGCTCATTCCTAATAAAAGTACATATTTCTTAACTGTTAGGTAGAAAAAGGGAATCTTACTCAGTTGATTCTCAGTGAAACTGAAAAATAAAGAACAAGAATTGCAATCAACAGCATTAATATATATGAGTTAGTAATCAAAAATACTGAGCAGACTGTTGGCTCATTTTGTTGCCTGCTTTTCAATCTATTCCTATATTTGATCTGTTGGCTGAAATATAAAATCCATTAAGAATGGTATGTTTCAGCAAAATATTGATAAGTGATTTTTTTTTCTTGCCACTGCATTCACTGGGAGCACAGCCAAGTCTACAGTTACAAAATGCATGAACAGTAGGTAAAAGGAGATTACTTTCTTGATGGACATTTTAAAGAAAGATAAGGAACAAAAATTCTTTTAGGACTGCATTTTACTTTCTGGTAGAATGTGGTTTCCTTTGGTTTAAATTACAAAGAAAAACAAACCTTTATGAACAACAACAACAAAAACCTACAATTTTATATGATTGTATGGAATAAGTGCTAGTTTTTCAACATTTAAATTAGAGTTTGGTTATTATGCTACCCACACTTCAATTGCCACCCTAAGGTGTATCTGTGCTTTTCAATATGGTTTCTAATTACTATTAGTGCCCATTCATTACTGTTTTATTATTAAATAAAATGAGGTGACTTATTGAAAATAATGGTTAGAGGAAACAAGTCACTAGGGGATTTCTTTCATTTCTAGTTTCATATAGTTCTTTTATTTTTCCTGCAGGCTGCACTGGGGATAGCAAACCTAATTGTTATGGCTATGGAAAAAGAAGGGATGTCTAAAGATGCAGCTGTCAAAAGGATATGGATGGTTGACTCAAAGGGATTGATAGTGAAGGTAATACGCTTTTCTTATTCCTCTAAATGTTGTGATAGTTACTAGCAGTCTGTAGATAAAGGCAAAAACATATTTTTTATAACAGTAACTACAGCAGTTCTTCTCTCTTGACATAGCAAGCTTTTTTTTTTTTTTTTTTTTTTTTTTTTTTTAAGTGTATTAAATAAATAACAGGCTTCCATTTTACTTCAAGGGAAGGTAGATTATGCTTGGAGATCCTGCATCATTTCTGTTAGGGATGAGAAAAGAATTTCTCAGCAGTTCATTAAAAAAAAACTGCAGGAAATAAGTGTTCAACTTGTGAGTTTAATATTTCCCATGTTCACACTACTTTTATTTGTTAGTGCAGTCTTGTATGAAGATGTTTGTATATGTGCTATTAGCAAGGCATTCAATGATTTTTTTTAAAAGAAAGAAAATATTTTCAAAGAGAATGTTTTCCTGGTGTTGCAAACATATCTTCCTTCTTTGAGAATGGAGATATATTGCTTTGAATAACTTCTATGCACAGTGATAGAGCTCATATTGCAGATGTGGTCTGCAGTGCTATCAACACTGGTCAGGATTTGAAATTGCTGAGAGACTGCATCAGTCACCCTTACTTCATTCCTTCTGTGTGCCAAAATAAGGAAACATATGTATTCCATGTGCCAGAATAAAGAAACTGGGTATGTTTTAAAAGGTGGTTATGTATTTAATGGTTTGTGAGCTACTTAAAAGAAATGTATGAAAGGCTCATTGGCTCTGCTTTTTCACCCTACTTTTTGGATAGCATTGTTTGTGGCCATCTTTATTGGCATTGTACTCTTTTGTGGTGTTCTCCAGTTGTCTAGTATTTAGGATATTTTCTAATTAATATGCATTTGCATGAGGAGCATGAATTCAGCACTGTGTATGTGAGTTAGTTTATTAAACAGTATCACAACATCTTTTGTTCGTCTTACTACAGGAAAAATAGTAGGATCACAGACATTGAGATATGAAAACACTGTAGAAGTCATTTTGGACATTTTTTGCTAGACAGCATAAAAATTGTCTGATTGGGTACAGAAGAAAGCTGTAACTTGCTACAGTTTAAGATACAGATGTTCTTCTGTTTATTTTGGGTTTTTTAAGCAAAGGTTTGTAATGCTTTTGGTTTTCATCTAATATGTGTAATGTGTTCTGGGTCCAGACACAGATAAGTGAAGGGCTGTGTATCTGCTGTATCTGATGAAACTTAGAGGTTGCCTAAGACGAACAATGCATTGCTCAATTTCCTCCACTGTAGTGACTGGGAATATAATTACAAAAATAATACAACTGGTGGTGGGTTCATGGGTAGAAATATAAGAGCTTCATGGCCCCAAAGCAGTAAACCTGGCCTTGTAGCATGGCTGTGCTGCTGAGGTTGTTAAGCAGTCTTTCTTCCCTCCTGCTTCTCTTACACCTCTCACTTCTGCCGCTAATTTGCTAGTCAGCCGAGAAGCCAGGTTGTTGCTCTTGGTACTCACAACTCATTCCTTTCACAGTTTCTAATTTTTTAGTGCTTCAGTGACCGTATACTTTCCTCAACGCCTTCTAGCTTCAGAGCTCTCAAGCAGGGCCAAAACCAATCATTCTCTTACACAGTTCGTAAGTTCCTTTCTTCTGCTTGTTCTTTCTGGTGGGGCTTTACTTGGGTTTTGTCCAAAGAGCAGTCCACTGAATTTCATGTCCTGCCTGAAGTATATTTGTGAACTGTTCGTGATAGCCAGACATAACAGTTGTCTGAGATAGATTAGGGCTGACCACTACTTGGCTTGCTGGGGAATTTGGGACCAGATGTTGATGCAAGCAGTGGGAGTTAACAGTGCACATTTCAAGACCATGCTGGTTGTCCTGGAAGATCTGTGGGCAATGGTCACCAAGCCGGGCAGAGGTGGAGAGGCTTGAGAAGGGGTGGCCACTTCCAGCTGTGGTATATTTTGTGGCAGAGCCAGCTGGAACTAGAGGTTGGTGACACTACAGTGCCAAGCCTGAGCTGAGTGTGAGAAAACTTGTTCTTGGTCAAAAGCTCTGCAAATCCTGCCTTGGCTTTCTTCTGATGCTGGATGTCCTAAACAAAAATTATAAATCAATAAATATTAAAAAATCTTAGGCCTCTTGAGGCTGGTGTTTTAACTGCCAGGAAGTCATATTTACTGTATGTAAGTAAATAATTAAGTTCTTCCTGGTACCATTTTTCTGGTCTGAGAAGGAATGCCATGCTTTACTGCTTTACATACAGTTAGGAAATTACTCTGGCTTTAGCTGACTGAGGAAAAGTGTTGCAAGAGTCAAGAGGCTTTCCAAACTCTTAGAAATGAGATAAGAGAACAGGAACATTTTTGAAAAAGCTGAACAATAGGAAGGATTCTATTCCTAGAAACCTTTTCATTATTGCTAACAGAAGATTTCTCAAACCACAGAATAGCTCACCCATTAAACAACTTTTGCTTAACCTAAACTGACTCTTATTTCTTACTGCTATCAAAGGTCTATCAAGAAAACCTGTACAGTGAGAGTCCCTTAAGATTTGTCTTATCAAAAACTGCCTGATCAAAAGTAGTGTCCTGGAAACCAGGAGACCCTTTCAGTCCCAGAAATATTCTGATCTCTTGCTTTAACAGTATGAAGAATAACAGAACCTCTAAAGACTCAGCAATTATTTTGTCCGAGTAAATTATTTTTTACATCTATTTTTTTTTTCTGTTCTGTCCTTTGATCACTGATTTTGTAATGCATGGTTATAGATTTAATCATTGTTTCTCCTTTCATCTCCTCTGAACAGCATTTCAACAAGTATAATCCAAAGAAAAATAACCTTGGGAATTTTGTTGACCTGAGTATGAACATCTTCCATCTTTTCTCCCTCCACCAGCCCCAAAAGTTGCCACGAAGTCACTTACTAGTCTTTTGCAGCTGATTTTTCCTTTGTGGGTTTTTAATTGTTCAAGTACAGCTGTGTTTTCATTTTCTTGTATATTATGCTTTTCTTTTTCCCTTGGGAGCAATTTTTCTTCATTAAACTGAGTTTGATGACCAGCTTTTCTGCTATGTTGTGGTGAAAGAGCTGGTGTGAGGGTTACGTTTATTATACTGTCTACAGTTTTGCTCTCTGATTCATTCTGAATACCTTGTAATTCTCATATTCTAGAGAGCATGTTTTGTTTATGCTATTTATTTATTTGTTAACCAGCTTATGTTGTTGCTTTTGCACTCTTGTGTGCTAGGAGGTTCTGTCATGTAGTTGGGACTCATCTTTAACTCTGAATTTTGTCACAGGGACTGACTGGTATATGTATATTGGACTATATTAACACATAAATATATTTTGTCTCCCAAATTCCTTTTCTTTCCTATTTGCTATCCTCATTTTCTTCACTTAATGATACTACACATAAGTGTGATATGTTCTGAATGCATTTGATCTTCTTTAAAGCTGCCATAATGTCATGCTTAGCTACATCAGTGACAAAATCTTCACCCATAATCCTCAAAGACAATGCGTTCATTTGTGTCAAGTAGCTGAGAAAACTTAAGAAGAGTTTTATGATGTTCATTTGAGGGGGTTGATCCCAAAAAAATAAAAAGATGATGCTCACCATTGTGTATATTTTAGTTAAGTCCTGCAAAACCTTCCTGCAGGGTAGTTCTTGAGGTGCCTAGAGTGATTGTGCAAATAATAAGTAAGTTTTAATATTTAAAGGGAGTGTACCTATGCTGCAAAATATAATCTAATTCTTTTGTGAAGTTTACCTGTAATTTGCAAGATTGTTTGTATGCCACCTAATTTCCAGTGAAAAAATGAAATTCCGTAACATGGGAATAAATATCATCCTTCGTTTTGAAGAGTATATCAACATGAAGTATATTGGTCTTGGCAATTTTTCACTCTGTGTTTTGTACTTCAGCACATCAACACTTTTGTCTAATTGAGTACTTTGTATTTTAAATGTCCATCAGATATGTGATTTCATCCCCTGTAAGACTTCTGGGCAATCTGGATGAAGTGGTGCTCAGGGACATGATTTAGTGGAGGGTTTTTAAAGTTAGGGTAGCATGGTTAGGTTGTGGTTGGACTTGATGATCTTGAAGATCTTTTCCAACCTGAGTGATTCTATGATTCTATGATTGTAAGTCCAAACTGAATAGCAAGTTCGGTGCTCCAAAATACTGAACTCTCTAAGAGGAGGACAACAACAGACACCAAAATGTTAGTTTTCTGTGGTCTTAATTATTTAGAATGAAGATACCAAAGTAATCCTATGGATAATCCTCTAAAACATTTTCAGAGGGGCATAGACTTTCACAGTTCCCCTTTTCCTACTCACTTTTGAATATCTCTGGCAATCTTATTTGGAAACGTTACTCATAACCAGTTAATTGACAGTGGGAACAATCGTCTTTAAAATTCATGGCTTAGTCAAAATTTGATACATACATAGTTCAATCTTGTCTTAGAGGTTGGTGGAAAACAAAGGACATTTGAGATTGACAGAATTACAGTGCCATCTAGGTGTGGTTGCTCACCTTACAAACAGCGCAACTCATAACACGTGAGTGATCATTTAGTGCTCAGAATCCAATCTTGACTGACTGTCAAGATTGTCTGAATGTTACTGATTTTTTTTTAGTATGCTTCTAATCAGTTTTGTAAATAATTGCTTAAAGAAAACCTTTGAACTTTATTCTAGGTTTTAAAACCATTTTATAACGGGTTTAATATTCCATATGTTGTTTTATGTTATGTCTGCTTCTTCTGTGAACTTTTTAGTAATCTCTGCCTTCCTGTTTAGCAACAGTCAATTGTTCTGACTCTACTTCTGTCCTTTATCAGATCATTTATGTCTGACTGCAACTGCCCCTAACTTTTTGAGCCAAAAGACTCTTGCATCTTAGCAAAGATGCAATGTCTGGGATATCTCCAAGCATCATAGTCACTTAAAGCAGTCTCTGTCTTATTTTACTCATGTACTGACTCAGTGATGTACTCTCTG